AATTTAGCTTGAAAACCACAGCTTTGAAGCCTCATGCGCGCCATACCCGGGAACAGAACTGTAGCTACTTGTAGCTACCCTGGGTCCGTATAAATACTATGTTGCTATAGCTCTTACACACCTATACAAGTTCAAAGCACGAATGAGACTTCAAAGCTGTGGATTGCTGTGCGTGTGTAGAGGTTCTCAAGCGGTTGACGGAAAGGCAACTTGAAGTACTATACCTGGTAGCTGCACTATGGCTACCCTAGGTCTCTATACCTTGCAAGGTGCCAACTACACCTTTCCATTCAGATGATGCAAATGATGCATTTGGCATTTCTTGCATCACCACCCCTCAAAAATCACCTCCAACACAACCTCAAAAAACCTTCCCTCGAAGCACCCTCCTCCCCCAGCATGTGCCGAGTTGACGTATACCTTTCTCGGGCCACCCCCCCAGACCCCCTAACTACTCACTTCGTTCGCCAGACACAACTCCGCTAGCGCCTTCTACGAAGGCTGGCTTTCGTAACATGAGGTTCAGTACGACTGGATCCCTTTTGGGGAGTGGATCACTGGCATCCCTCCCGTCCCTACCCTCCAAAAGCCATCTTCAGCGGGTTTAGGGTACTACAACCGTTGCTCAGATGCGGCGGCCGACCATCCGAGGTCAGGAGGTGCCTAAACCCTGAAACTATATACCAGGAGTCACAGAGCTCGGGGTGGTGTGGCTCGTCCCATCCAGTGAGTGGATGTGACCAGGGCACCCCGACTACCTCCATGGAGAGCACCCCTGTCGAACGTGACTGCTGGTATAGGATAATCGATCCCTTTGTATACGATCGAACCCGCCATGTGACCCCGGAATGAAGGTGCTGGTCTGGGATAATTCTGCAACCTGGTACTCTCATCATCCCATCTCAAGTCTGTGCACAGACCGCACAGACCTGCACGAAGCTTCAGAGCGGACGCTTCCAAGCAGCCCGAAGTAGTAGCGCTCTGGGCGGAAGCGAGCAAAAAGAAAGCGGTACCTCGGTCCGTAAGCGCCGCAGCGTGCGTGGATGTTGCGTGGCGAAGGTGAAGAAGGGACCTCCAGAACTGGGATCACGAATCAAGTAACTGCACTATTCACTCTTCACTCCAATGTCAAAACAACCCCAAACACCTCGGAGAAAAACACACACACACACACACTTTGAAAGTCGACCATAGGTCCCCCATGTTGTTGTTCCTCAGATTCCGACCTTTTTTCAGTCTTTCAACAAAACATCTTCTGATCTCCAGGTCCTCCATGTCCTCTTCATCATGTCCTCTTCCCAACCCTCGAACCCGTCCTGTCGAACGCATCCCGGTCGCGGTTGCTCCGTCGTGGTCCAAGGGGCCGTTCCATGACCTTGATCCCACCACCCGAGCGTAGCCAGATCGGATACTTCCTGCCAGATGGAGCTGGACCGGACCCGACCCCCAGTACCGAACAGAACATGGGACGTGACGTCTGACCCCATGTCCAAACAGGCTACGACGCCTGGGGCCCCTCTTTTTGTGAGGTATACGACCGAGACTCCAGGGGCGAGCGGTGTTTTTTCTTTCCCAGACGCGACCCGTTCGGCCCCGAACCTATGCAGGGGTCGGACCCGAATCCTATGGAATTCGTCTGGACCCGAACCAATCCCTATGGTTTGGTTCGGGACCAGTCGGGCGTCGTTCACGGAGCGTCTGGGTTTTAGATAATTCCTCGAAGCGGTGTAGCGGATTGCTGGAAGAGGACGGGCCAGGCCGAGGCCGATCCGCTCCTGTTGGGATGGCTTTTCAAGACAAGACTGAAAAGCCGAATCCTGGAAAAAAGATCGGCCCTGAATTCGGGTCTGGGGTCGAAGTAATCCCTAAATAAGGTCATTGAGTTTGGAACATATACCAGGACCCTCCAAGGATTACCCCACACTACCTATAGGCTTCCATTGGGCACCCCTTGGAGGGTCCTGGTATGAGTTATGCCAAATTCATCCCAATATATACATGGATTGTTCGGGTCTGGCATTGGGTTTATCATCGGTTGGATGATCTGGATGGATGATTTCCCATGTGTAGCATGCAGCCTCCTCCTCAACCTTCAAGAGCGTTCCGTTGAACACCCGCCTGGTGAGGTAAGCGATGCAGCTGAGGATGGTCACGGGATAGGCCAAGATGCCGATGGAGACGAAAACCACTAAAGTTTGATGTTCTTCAGTCTCCCAGCCTCAGACTTCTCCAACAAAATGCGCAATTTTTGAGGCATGATCAAACCATCTGAACCATCCGACTAGGTCGCGACATTTCGTTCACAGCCTCGTGCTCAGGTGTCCCAACGGTCTTGATTTCTTGAGTTGTTTCTTCTTTTAAGACCTACTTGACCAAAGAGTGTGGTGGAACTGATCAACCATCTACCAGAGTATTGCAATCTGATATGTCAGGACCAGATGTCTTTAGTTCCTATGCCTGAGAATCTTAATCATGTGTTCAGCTGCTTCTAAATTGCTAAACTGCTTGGTACCCATTCTAAAATTTCCTGAAGTAAGTGAGAAAGCAATATCAATCATATTCAATCATATATACGTATACATGCACATTATATTACACATTCCTTTTGCTATTTTGCTATTTGCCCGTGTTCGTTGATTGCTGTTTTTCTGTGTGCTTCTCTTGTTTCCTGTCTGTGTTTCTTCATTGCTTTCAGGATTCTGCGTGTTGTTGCTTTCCTCGTTCTATTTGTTATGTTCTAATTATGGCATGGTCTGTTATTTTCACTTTTACGTATGTTTTGTAATACGTGTTTGATCCTTTGTTGTTCTACATGTGAAGTTGTAGTCAAGTCCTCTGTTTTTGCTTGTTTTCATTTGTTTGTATTATGTTGCTTTTTGCTGTTGTTTGTCCACCAGAAAATGCTTAAGCCGGCACCACAAGAGGAGCATTATGTTTCCGTTCAACCTGCAGCCCGATCCATCCACCATGTAGCGAGCACTTTTTGCAGGTCAATCGGTTGGTATCCTGGTGCCATGACCCACATGTATCATATTCCAATCCTCAGAGATTTTGGAGCCCACCATGAATACAATCACCTGTGTGCCCTCCTGGGTGTGTCTCTCCCCCAGCCTTCCTCCAAGACCTTTCAAAGAAACTTCGACCCTGTGTTGTATAGTATACTATAGTATACTCCATTCAAACCATGCTTCAGACCAGTCAAACATCAACCCTTGCATCGGGTCTTGGGAAGGCCGAAGAAGCTGTTCACTTCCGATCGAACCGCACCTCGTCGAAATGGACCGAACTGGAGTAGGCGTGCGTGGGGGGGAGGAAGTGAGGGGTCCTCAGTCGGTTTCAGAGTCCTTGCGCGTCTGGCGTCACCATCCAAAACCCATCCAAAACCAACTCTTCTTTGTTCGGTGATCAATAATTTTGTGTACCAAAATGGTTGATAGATGTTCCTGGAGTCTCAAAGTACCTCGGAAAATGGGTATGGTCGTACCTGTTTTTATGGGGTCATGTCCCATTTTCTAAGGTACGAACTGGAGACTGCAGGTTAAAATAGGTCTTCAAAGACTTGAGCCACCGAGTATAGGTCTCCAGCAGCCAGAAAAAGGTCTCCAGATGCAGCCTGCGTTGAGGAAACCAAGGACTCTGTACACTCACGAAAAGCCAAGAAACATGTCAGGTCTGGCCTGGAAGAGACAGTAAAGAGCCCATTCCTCAGAACAAAAAAAGAGAACGCAGCTGCAAACAGGTCCAAGGAAATCCGAATTCCTTCTCCCAACTAAACATGTGTATACTTCAAGACGGCCATCCACAAATTTCTGCAAACAATGTCGACAGATGTCGTCGACAAATGTCGACCATGTCCAAGTGTTTGGGCAGTTCTCTTTCCAGATGACCGGTGTGACTTCGACAGCTTTAAGACCAACTCTCTTCAAGTGTCGCCACCGTGCGGTGGAGCTGGCTCCACCGTCGGTGGTACCGCCCGGGGGCGCGCTTGTATGGATGCTTTTGGGGCGTGTTCAGTGTTCAGTAAGTCTTAGACTTGAAATCGAGTCACCGCCCGTTGAAGACTTCCAGCCAGGCCTTACATCAGTGGACCCACCCCAAAATCACTTCCCCTCCTCACCAAAAGACACCACCAAAAGTGACCAAAACAAAAAAAATCACAACACCCTCAAGTGACCTCAAAAGTGGGATATCAGACACAAAATGTAGGTCTTGAAGAACCAGGCACCTCTCAAGCTCTCACGCACAAATATTCGCCGCCGCACGACCGTGCTCAACAGCTGGATTCCCCCCCCACCGGTGGCTCTTCTCCCCGTCCGTTTCCGTGGCGCGTCGCGACTCCGTTCCTTCCGCGGCACGGATTGCTGCGGCACTGGAGGGGGCGCACGACAGTGAGTGACAAAGCGGTCAGGAGTGCCACCACAAAAAGGCCTCGGCCCACTGGCGATGAGACGAGGAGGCTATGGTACCTGGCGGGTACCCTGGTGCCTGTGTTGGTTTTGGTGTTTCTCTCCAGACAAATCCAGAGGGGCATTCCTTGAGACCTCTGAAATCCTCTGACCCTTGAGGAAAAACCATCAAATTAAACTATAGAAATTCATTACGACCCTTCATTTTATATATGCCGGATCTAGTCGACTATAGAGTCGACTGCAGGTCGGAGTCGCGCCCACAGGGGGGCCGTGCTTCGTCGCTCGTGTCGTCTCCACCGGGTACAGACCCTCCACGACCGGACCTGGACCGGTCAACCCCAGTGATGTGGGTCATCGCATGGCTTTGTTTGGATGTGGGCGGAGGTGGGCCTACCGGATGTGGGCCATGTTGAAGCCTACCATACCAGACCACACAGTATACCACAGCTGGCGCCATCTCTCTGGCGAAAGAGGCACCAAAAGACCATCTGCGAAGCTGGTCTTCCGCTGCCAAGCGGAGTCTGTGCCCGAAAATCGCTGAACTTGGACTTGTGCCCAAGGAACTTGAAACATACAGAACAAGAAGATTCTCCAGAAAAGGTGATTTACATGGATTTACCCACCAAAAAGGGAAAACACAAAAATCACCTGATCAGCAAAACCCAGAAGCAAGGTAAATAGACATATTCACCCAGAAGGGTGAACATGTAGAAAAAGTAATCACTATCACCTGATCAGCAAAAACCCACGTTTTGATCCAACATCGCCCGTTGCACATGCCGCCGATCGATGGAAAACCCGCTCCGTGAGTCGCTCTGTCCACCTTGTTCTCCCGAGTCGCTCTGTAGGGGGCGAGTCGCATGGGGTTTCACTTCACTCAAAGTTCGCAGCATGGGGGGGTTCATCTAGTTCATCCCACGTTTTTGCGGAAGCACATAGTGATTATATATATATATACCTTGAGTCTCCAAAGACCTTTTTTTTCTGCGTTTTTGTTTTGGGTCTAATATGTTTGCGATTTTGCTCGAAAAACGCGTTTTTAGAGATGAGACTCAAGGTATATATTATATCATGCCCTAAGAATCAAGGACCCTCAGCTGGTGAAAGTTTTGAGGGTCCAAACCCCTGCGGAACCTGCAGGGTCAGGTCACCCTCCAGTTCGGAAGGCCCAATGATGGTTAGAGTGGAACTTCTCTCGGAAAAGGCATCTGTTCAAGTCTAAGGGTACCACTACCCCGAAGCAAAAATCTGACGCATAGGATGCATATGACGACCATCCAAGAAGCCATGGACGTTCACAAAGGCATTGAAGGGCACCGCATGTTTGCTACATCGGGTGCTCAACCATGCCCTGCGCGGTGCTTGAGATGAGATGGAGGGAAGTCAAAGCTCTTGGCATGGATGGTGACAGTTGGACATCTAGGATGTTGCAAGCTGCCTGCTTCCTTTCCTTTGTGCTGAAACTGTACCGGCCTGTTTTGACTTCTCTCCTTCGGCTTTTGGGCTTTTGGATGCAATTCCGGGAGTGAGAAAAGATCATAAAAGTTTTGTATAGGCACTATTTCTATACCAGGACCCTCCAGTCGGGGTGGTTCATGAACACCCCGAAAAAAAACAGCTGGCTAAGGGGCGTTTCGGGGCTATACATCGACACCCCCGAACGAGTCGGGTTCTGGTAGAGTAAAAACCATCCCAAACACTCCATGTCTGGCATATTTACCTACATTGGGGTGGTTTTAGGGGTCAACGTATGTAAATATGCCAGTCCCATGGACTGTCTGGGCATGGGTTGCTCAGAATGTCATTCAAGCAGTCGCTTTTTGGGGCGTTCGTTCCAACCTCTCGACCCTCGTCTCGCGGCGTGCAGGTGGAGGACGGCAGGTGGACGGTCACGAGCGCAGCTTCGAGTGAGTTCGCAACATCACACCAAGCACCGTTTTCAGGGTCAAACCTTAGGTCTATGCTAGTGTGCGTTGAAGCTTCGTGTGATCCAGTTGGGTGCATCCGACATGCTACACTGTCTGTGACAGCGTCCTTACTAGCGCCCATTGGTCTCAGCACAAACACTCTCAGAGTCCTTGGACTGGACTATCTCTCTGAGATCCATACACCAGGCTCACGCGGATCCGACCGCTCCAAATGAGCAAAACAAAGCATTCATTTTCACTCACCGGTCGAAGAAACACTTGCTACACGCAATTCACGTCCCATACCAAAATCAGGTTGTGTACTATACATGGGACGTAGAATGGGATATAATGGGCTTCTTCATCCCTTGGTGATAAGGAATGTCAAACAGCATGGAGAGCGGTTTGACAAATCACCACCAAGGTACAGGAAGGTGATGAACACCACAGCCGGATAGGCCAGGAGCTTCAAGACATATTCCTGGGCGAGCGATACATCTGGAATATCCAACCCTACACCTCCACGTGTACCATCTGGGAAGGTCTGACTGGACCCTCCTGGCACCCACCTCAGTCCAACCTTCTCAGGTTCGGTACAACTGGAGGCCTGGGGAGAATCAAGAGAGGCGGAGGGACCTGAATTATTGGGAGCCTTGTCAGTTGGTCCTGCTTGCAACCGTACCGACCGGGGGATCAAAAGGTATCAAAAGGTCAATTGAAAGAACCAGGCAGCCGGTCTTCCGCAGAACCATGATTTCAGGGAGTGAAAAACCTCTATCGCGGAAACGGTTTCCGCACATATATACATGCACCATGGACAAACAGTTATATCCTTTTCTCTGAAACATGTATAGCCAAGATGTTTGCCCTTGGAAGCTCGTTTGCAACAAAAAACAATTACAGTGCCTGCTCCAAGAATCTACCGTATAACTTTGTGGCGGCAGCAAGCAGCTGAACTCCAGGTCCAAATTGAAGACCTGGGAACGCGGCATAGCGCGGCTCATGACCCTTTAAAGGGATCCATTTGGTCGTACCGACCACCTCAGGTTCGGTACGAACCCACGGACCCACCGGACACCGTCTGGCTGGCACGACATGGCCACATGTCGAAGCGTCCTCACCGATAGGAGCGGTGGGATCAGTGGATCCCATTGAGCTCACTTTGTGGTTCGAAAGCGGTGAAGTTGTGCTCTCTGCTCTGGATGCCAGCCACATATATGACATGCGTTTTGGGCGCGCGTGTGCACGTGGCCTCTCTACTCTCCGTCGTGCGGTGGAAGCCAAACAGATCCCAAAAGTAGTCGGGTCGTGTCAGCACGGTGGAACTGCAGTAGCACCGCTCAAAAGGATGACCGGGTAACGACGCCAACGCCCTACCTAAGGAAAGGAAGGAACCTCACGGCAAATCAGCAGGACGCGGTGAAGTCAGGAGGTTGAACGTCAAAGAATTGAAATGCAGAAGCAGATGTCTTAAAACATGGGTCCCAAGTCACCATCCGTTCCCGGAACTGTCTCGAGATCTCGTCTGCCCGGCATCGAACGCGTGAACTCGTCCCGGCCCGCCGAGGTTCCCCGAGAGTCGTTGACATGTCGTGACCACTGTTGTGGTTTCTGAAGACCTTCTCTATAGGATTCAAAGAACCATTGTTTTTAATGGTCTGAATCCCAAAGAACCATCAGCTTTTACTACGGATTTTTACACTACACCACCAGCTCAACTGTTCTTTTAATGGTCTTTGAAGGCTAGGGCCTTCTTCTTCCCCCAACCCGAGGTTCGGTGGCAGTGGATCCCTAGGGATGACACTGCGTGGTTTGGGCTATCTACAAAGAGCGGCGCTGAGGTGGGGACAAGCCCAACGAAAAATCATCAAACCTCAGAAGGTCTAGGACTGGAGAAGGGTGAGCCTCGACCCCCCAACGTGGGGAAGATCCTGAACTCCGACCTTAAGCAAAGAGAGGAAGGTCCTCTTGTGGGGCTCAGACTGTATCTCGGTCTAGTGCCTCTTGCTCATTTCAGATTGACCCCCTCAAGAAGAATCAACATCGACTCCAAAGAACTGTCCCACACGAATTCTACAGCCTTTCCATTCTTTGTGGCACCTGAAACCAGCTAGCAGCTGCACCCGCCCGATGCTCGCAGCACCACATGGACCGAGCAACAGCGAGGGCAGCCAAGATGGCCTTGGCCGGGTCCTGTAGGACAAGTCGAGCCGCCGGTCTGCCGTTCGAAGCTGTCGAGACGGCAGAAAGCTGACCAAAACCGCCTTCCAGTGGACGATAGACATCCTTCCCCTTCGGTTCACCTGCGTTTTGTATTGCAAAATCCTTGAGGTCCATTGACATCAAGGGTGCTTCGAGCTCTAGGGGAAACATCGGCGCCACACATCTTCTTCAAGTGGCTGGGTGACCGAACATGTTTTGATAACATACCAGGACCCTCCGTTTGGGGTGTCTATTTATACCCCTTAGTTGTGATTCGGGGTGTCCATTAACCACCCCTTGAGGGGGTCCATGTTTTGATAACCCCAACAATCCATGGATGTGGAATCTTTAAACATCTTTAAACCAGCCATCGATGCTTTGTGGCAACCTGTCCCATTGTCTGTCCCAAAACGGGTGAAACCAGCTAGCCTAGGGACCCGACGTTTGGGCACCGGGTACAGGTCTCAATGTCGAAGCGTCAACGAACGGAAGGTGTGACCGGAGGGCCAGACAACTCGTAGCTTCTTGTTACAATTCAATTAATAGCTTCTTGTTACTACTAGCGTGGCACTTGTTGCTATATTACTTGCTTCTGGCCTCCTCTCCCTTATACTTGCTTTTGGCCTCCACATGACGACCGGCTTGAAACAAGTTCGGGTTTGCGGCTTGAAAGAAGTACGGATCCACCGCTTTCTCCCGAAGTTATTCCCAGGTGGTCCCGTAGTGATCCGATCGGTGCTCATCCACACGGGAGGATGAGGATTCGAAGTAAGTCACCCAACCGTACGCCTACGCCACGAACCATGGAACTCTTGAATGTACGACTGGATACTCGCTTGTCTTCTAGCAAACAGCTTAAGGTGGAAGTTTGTCGCATGGGATGTCTGTTCTTTTACATCTGGCTACTAAAAGCCGACACTCGGTTCCCGTTCCTAAGTGACACCTTTAACTAGGCACGCAGTGATCTTGTGGAAGAATTACTGGTCTTCCACAATACAAGCAAAACCCATCATCTTGGATTCACCATCCCAAACACTTCATGTACCAGCAGTCACGTAGCTCCGGGGTGCTATCCATGGAGGTAGTCGGGGTGCTACAGAACACATCCACTCACGGGATGGGGACGTTTCACACCACCCCGAGCTCGGGGTGACTGCTGGTACAGAAAAAGAAAACGCCGACCCCTGAAACGCCCAACTGATTGGGAGTCAGGACTGCCAGTTCTGCTTGGGTCGTGTCAGGACCTCTTTCTTCTCGGCCCAAATCCTCCCACCCAGCCCACGTCTTCGATCGATCGAGCGATCGATTCTCCTTCCACGTGAGATCCAACTGGTAGATCGCATCCAGGCCCTGCAAACACACCACGATCTGTCCGAAGATCAGACCTGAAGCGGAAGCGGAAGCCGAGCGGAAGGGCAAAGGATCTGCCTCGTGAATGGACACCGCGAAGGGAGCTCCTTTCCGTAGTGGTGCTGGGGATGACTCATTGGCACTGAAGCCAAATATGGCCCCTGGCTTGATAGGAAAAGGATTGGAAAAGGTAGTTTGTATGGTGGGGGGCGGGGCAGTCCTACAATACTGGTCGAGCTCGGCTTCTATAAGGATATAAAGGATTCTTCGCTCTACTCCAGGATCACCAAATGCCTAAAGCCGACTTGACATGAGACGTCAGATTTGGGGGTTCGTACACACGTCACGCCCACACGGCCAGAAAATCAACACGCCAACCTGACCACCCTTTGGTGTTCCCATGAGTTCCGTCCAACTGCCCGAAAAAGCTTGAACAACCCACCAAAAAAATATACCCATTGGGGGGTCAATGTAGGCATATATGGCATACATGGAGTGATATACCAGGAGTGACAAAGGGGTGGTGTTTGGTCCCCAAGTGAGTGGATAATGGGCACCCCTAACCTCCATTAAGCACCCCTTTGTCACTGCTGGTATCATATATATATGCCATTCTCTGCCCTATATATTGCACCACGAAAAGGCTATCAGTTCAGGTTCCTCCACCACTCTTCCTAGACCTGACAACCCGACAGGGGCACCTCTCCCGCCTCTCCCCGACCCCGTTGATGGCCTGTCGCCCAAGGCGCTGACCATGAAGACGCTCAAGGCCGTCCGTCGTGCCTTCGTCATGATGAGCCCTGCCGCCACGATCAAGGGCAACAAGGCCAAGGACACGAAGAGCATCAGAAAGACAGGCCACAGCGACTCTCCTGGACAACGAGACAGTCTACCTCGAGGTGGCGACTGCACGGAAGGAAGGATCGCCAACAGCTAAGCTAGTAGGCACGGAAAAGATGGTGTGTTTGCTGGGCGCGGAGGGATGCATAGAGTCGTCGGCTGTATGTTAACATCCAAATTTCAGATGACATGATTTGAGGGGTCAAATATGGTCTATACCAGGACCCTCCAGTCGGGGTGGTTAATGGACACCCTGAATCACGGTTTTTTGTGGTATAAATATACACCCCAAACGGAGGGCCCTGGTACATGTTTCACATGGTTTAACTGATCCCTTTTTCAACCCCTCAACTAACCGGTCAATACCTGGAGATCGACCCGGAACTCGTACCTCAGAAAATGGGGCCCCCATGCAGTGGCCTCTTTGGACCATGGGGGGTCAAACGTCCCATGTTCGGTATGAACGGGTCGACGTTGAGGTACACTCAGGTCATTCCACGAAGTGCTGGGGTGTTCCCACACCTCCACTCACCACCCTTCGCGAGACTCGACGGATCGCACGATCCACCTCAGGCACGTTTTCAATGTTCTTTCAACAGCTGTCTTCTGGGAAGGTCCAACAGCTGGATCCGATGCTTCAAACTCCCAGGGCGGGTTGGACGTGGACATCGAGAACAGCGACTACCCAACTAGGGATCTCCATGGGACACTCCTTGGATTGGCTTATAGAGGATTCATGTTTCATGTTTCATTCGTAAGAGACCCCAGCACTCCAAGTGCTATAGCTACTGCACTATATAAGATGTAGTAGTATGGGTCTGGATCGGATTGCTTCGATGTTCTGTCATAAGTATCACCAGTGCCCATGGCCCTTTCAGCTTCCCGATTCTCCGTCACAGATCTTGCACGTGCCATCAAACTGCGCCGAATGCCCTGAGGCGGTCCATGCGATCAGCTGAGCGAGCGTATACTACGCGGGAGCGGGAGGAGCGGGAACTGGCACAGGTGGGAGCCGGGAAGAAACGAGGGAGCGGGAACTGGCACATATATCCGTGTGGGAAGTGTTTTCCAACTCTCGAAGTTGTTTTTAAGACATTGACATCTTAAACATATACCTTTTTTATCCTTTTTTGCTTTTTCATAGGGTCCATATAAAGGTGAACATGCCAGTCTCGTGGATGGTCTGGGTAAGTGTGGTTTCCTTCACCCCTTCACAGTGTCACGACCTGGATAGCGCGACCCGGATAGCGCGACCCTTCGCACCTGCGATGACCCCATGCCACTGGGGGTGATCATTTCTACACCCACAGGCTATAGAAGGTAGGAGACGGCTCTGTGCACAATTCCGTTGAGCGGAAGAACACAGCACTGGACCCCCCAGTCGGCCTCGGGGGGTGGTTCATGGACTCCCAAGGCCACGTGGTGCCCCGGCCTTTCATGCAACTGCCACATGCCTGACCAATGCGGTTCTTCGCGCATGTCATCACTTCACCAGCAGGGCATTGCAGCTCATTGCGGCATTGGTAGACCGAGTAGGGTGGACCATCTTGGCTCGGGCGTTGGTTTCGGCCGGTCCACGATGGTCCAACATGCCCAAGACGCGGTGACTGGAGAGGAGTTGAGTCCAGGGGTGGAGTTGGATGGCGTTCAGTCTCATCCAGTGGATGTGACATCTGGGGAGCCGTCACCGACCTCCATGGAACTACTGGGTGAAGGGGAAACACCTTTCCCATACAGGTGAAGCACTGACCTCAAATGTAATCGGAGTTGAGTTGATTGTACAAAAACATGGGGGGTTCAAGATTATAGGCTCTACTTGCGGCAAAATAAACATCAATTTGACCGCAATTGGGAGGTCTGTGCCCACCTTCTTTTCGGAGGACCGGGCCGCCCGGGAGGCTCCGGCAGGTGGGGTGAAGCAGCGAGGTGTCGCGAAGCATCGCGAAGCATCGCGCGAGCTGTGAACAATGTCCAACTATACCAGGGGCCCCACATGGCCCATCCAAAACCTCTAGCTTTTGAATGTGAAAACCTATTCCTTTATTCTTCAAGGTTTTGAGGGCAACTGGTAGCAAGGTGCCTTTTGTTGATGCGCCTGGCATCTGTGTTGATGCGAGAAAATGGTGCCTATAGTAGCCAGTAGCTGTTTTCACAGGGCCACGTATCATGCTCCATGGCTTCGTGTTGGTCAATGTCCAGATTTCTTCTGTCTACCTGGACCCTCTAAAGTAATTACTACTGTACCTTAAAAAACCAGGTCCGACTGCACATGACTGTACCCATATTTCTGAGCTACGAACGGGTCAACTCCCAGTCTACGGAGACCCCGCCCCGGTCAAGCTTGGCAGAGCCTTCGGTACACAAGCTACATGTGCGTGCGGCGATGGCATCATCCACTTGGTGCCTAAAAAACCCAGTCCCAGAAACAAAAACGGCTCCTAGGAGTCGGAATCACAGAGCTCTGGGTGGTGTGGCTCGTCCCCATCCAGGGGCCGTGGATGTGTTCTGTAGCATTTTGGGGCACCCCTCCTACCTCCATGGATCGCACCCCGGAGCTATGTGACTGCTGGCTTGGAAGCCCTAGCTTTCTTGAGATCCTTTCATCACACGTTGGGACCGCACGGACCCCGCCGAGGAGCACAACACACCGCTGCTGCCCAGCGAGCCCACACTGACGACGGCGACGTTGGGGTCTCGCTGGATGAGGTTGGTGGTGTAGGCCCAAAACCCCGCCTTTTGCTGGGGCAGGAAGGCTTCGCCTGTGGCGCGGGCGGAGAATGAGGAGAAGTATACGTCCTTTTTGAATCCCCCTGTGTTGTCCCCGCGACCCAGGGCACCTAGATGTTATACGGAATCCCTGTCAAGTGCAAGTCTGGGCATTTATTGTTTCCTGTCGCCTGCCAAAAAGATCTTTATTTTTTCCTGGGGGCTTAGGCAATATCAGGATGGTGTGCCCCCCAGTGTGCCCGGCAGAGGGGCCGTCGCGAACAAACAGTGTTGGACATCTGTCTGCGCAGCCACCAACATGGTGGACATTTGAGCCACAATCTCCCAGGGTCTTGTTCTTAAATCCTGCCACTGAGACACACAAACATTCTTAAAACAATCCTGGCACATCCTTGCTTATAACATCCTGCTGAAATCTGGCGAACAGTTGCTTGCTCTTTTTTCCCTTGTGGTGACGTTGGACCTGCTCCAGAATCCAGGTGGTCCCCCTACAGCAAATATACCAGGACCTTCCAACAGGTGGTTTTTGGACACCCCTTAACCGCTAAGAGGCTACCTCTTGGAAGGTCCTGGTATAGATCATCGCGATATACCAAGGGGATCCAAGGGGGATCTTTTGGGGTCACCGCGAAGCCCCACATGGTCCAGCACCGAGAGCGCGATTGGACTTGGTCTGATTGGAGGCGTTATTTGAAGCGTCTGATTGGAGCGCGCGATCGGCGTTGAATCGGTGCGAAGAAAACACCCGCCATTCCGCGCCGAAGAAAACTGGTCGGATGTTTTTCGGGGTGCGAAGATCCAGTCTCAAAGCCAACTCCGAACTCCGACGGTGGCTCGTGCCGGGCCCGTTCCCCGACAGAGACCCCATTGAATATATACTAAGCTTCTTCGTTCGAATCGACAAATCGACTTCGTCTGCGAGTCGTCAATCCCATGAGACGCCACGAAGGAAGTTACGGAACTCCTTCCAGCTCCCCTTCCAGTTCAAAGACCTTGTAACCACCATTCTCTAGGGCCCTATACCAGCACCCTCCAACAGGTGCTTCCTGGTGACAACAGGTGCCCAGAAACCACCTGTGGTCGGGTCTCCAAACAGCCTGGGCAGGAGGGTCCTGGTAGGGCTTCAGTCGTACATCCTCAGGTGCTTAGACCCTCCACACGCGTCTCACCGAAACCGAAGTAGCTCCGGAGGTCTGAGACCAGGGCGAAGGCAGCACCGTGACCCGCCCCAGAACGTGTCTTCTGGGCTGGAATCGGCGACCAAATTGACCAAATACCATAACTTACCCCTAGGGATCCAGTCGTACCTTCTCAGGTACGGTGAGGACGGAGGCACTGTTATGTAGGTGCCAGGAGGGTCCAGTCGTACCGTACCCGCTAGGGTACCTGAATCTCTATGTTTCACAGTTTCACACCCCGAAGATCCAGGATGGTCCAGTATACCTGGAGTCTCCAGTTCGTACCTTAGAACAGGGGACATGACCCCATAAAAACAGGTATACCGGTATACTTGTACAAGCAACCTCCAACAGGTGCTTCCTGGTGACAACAGGTTAACATAACATAACCAAGTTACATAACATAACCAAGTTACCAACCAAAAGCTGCAGGTGGAGTCTTTGGGGGAAAAGCTGGCGGCTTCGCTGCGCGGTTCCGCTTTCGGGGCTTGCCTATGCCTGAAAGCTTGCCTGACAACCGCCAACCCCCCATCGGTCCATCCGGTCCATTCCGCCTGGGCAGTGCATCCCCGCGGGGCATTCCGAGCAGTTGGACTCGAGTCCAATTCGATACCTGTGCTGACTCGCTGTGTGCGGACTCGACTGCCCACCCCGTTCGGAGCGATGCCCCGTTTTTCTCCGTTCGTGAAGAAAGGTCAGTCTCGAGTCGAGACGAGAGAGTCGAGTCGAGTGTTGTTTTCATCCGGAGCGATGGCCGACGGATGTGCTGTTTCAAAGTACCAAGAGGTCGACCTTAAGGAGGTGTGGTATGTAGTAGATTAGAAGACTTAGATTGAACAAACAAACATATAAGTATATGTAGACTTAGATTCTTTCTGTTCACGACTACATCCATTATAGTGTCTGCAACTTAGGTTTTCTTATTTCCGGATCCTGAGAGTTGGTCCGATGCCAATCTAAGGGGTCAATCTAAGCCAATCTAGAATCCTTTCTCCCAAGCTGCCCGGTTCTTTGCCGGTTCTTGTTGCTGCCGAGCTGTCCCAAATAAATATGTACCAGCACCCGACTTCACAGGTCACCACCCCACTTGTAGTTGCACCATGTTGCAGCGATTCCAAAGGGATGTCCAATGTTTTCCAATAGGGAAAAATAGGGAAGAACCCTGGTGGAGCAAGAACCAAGGAGCTTCATCAACGAACAAAGATCGAACAAAGGAGGGTGATCAACCAACAACAACTCCAAAGAGTATATACTGACACGGTTGACCCCTTTGCTAGGCAGCAATCTCAGGCTTATATAATCCACTTCTCCTCTCGCATGTTGGCCAAACGCTGCCGAGAATCCAGCCCTCCTGGCAAGTGCAGAAGAAGAAACTGAAAGCTTCCAAGCCCCACGTGGTCATCCCGATGGGGCAATCCACGCAAGCACTTGAGGCCTCCTTCGCCTGGTATGTGCCTTCCAGCGTGCGAAGCCAGGCGAAACGGGCACTGGAATGGGGAGGTTTCGCTGGAGCAGGGGGATCAAAGCATCTGAGGATTTATGGCAATGTGACCCTGGTTGACCACTGCAAATGAACAGAATACTGAGGACCAAGAGAGGTGTCCAGTGACCGTAAATAGGACCTTACTGGGGTAATTACCGAACTGGGATAGTCGGGTTCTTCAACCTCTGTTGGGAGGTCAACCTGACACCAAAGTTCAGAGCCTCTATAGGTCTTGACACACAGCCCAGGTGGGCTCACAGCCCCCCAGTCTTGGACCTTTACCGACAAACAGAGGTAGGATCGACTGGAGCCCATCCGGGATGGGTGGCAACGCTTCCAACTCTCCCGGTTCAAAAGGAACCCAACCCATTCGCGAGTGGGTTTTAAACATGTTTTGACGGATTTTGACCCTCCCAACTCGGGCTTTGGACCTCACCAAGACGACAAACCTGGAGTCCCAAAGGAACATGAATACTGCAGTTGATGTTCATGGGGTACTTGAAGTCGGGGTCAGGAAGCAGTTGCTGCAGGGGGCGCTGTTCTTCCGATCGTACCAGAGCCTCTGACGTCTCTTCATGGATCAGGACACGAAGCAGGACCGACCAGCGACGGCAAGGTTCGACATCTCGAAGTGAAGAACTATCTCCCTATACCTCCAGTCGTACCTTCTGAGCTTCGGTGGAACTGGGGTGGGTGCCAGGAGGGTCCAGTCATACCTGCTAAACCTTACAACCACCTTTTGTTGTCCATGTCGCTAATTGTTGTCTTTTGGTATGCAAGGAGGAGAATTGTTGTCCGGGACGTGTTTTACCGTAATCCCATCTTTTAGTATCCTAGACTAGAATTGGTATCTATCCAGGGTAGCAGGTACCTTCTGAGGAGGTACGACTGGAGGCCTAGGATATCTGGACTTGACCCGTTCGTAGCGAGGTTCCGTGGCCGGGGATAGGTTTGGGGGGGTCTAACGGTCTAACTATATCTTCTGAGGATACCTGTTGAGAGGTTGAGAGACCGCTTCACGTTCGGACCCTGGTCTGTGGTAAAAATATTGGCATATGCACCCTAAGGCTGTTCAACCTCTCTGAGGAGATGGTTGGATGTTTACTGAGTTCGAGGGGTAAAACAATGTAAACCTGTTGGGATCGCACGGATGAGACTTAAGCTATACCCAGATCTTCCGACTACCTGAAGTCTCCAAAGTACCTTAGAAAATGGGACATGACCACATAAAAACAGGTACTTGTACCCATTTTGCGAGGTACTTTGAGACTCCAGTGGTGAACAATCTATGCCTTTGGGCTGGTTTTATACACTTAAACGGCATACATGTAGCATAGTTGGAAGATCTATAGACACACCTTCAACCTGGCTCCAGGTGAAGGCTCACACCCATTCCTTTGGGGGCGACCGCATGTGCAGCGCAAAAAAGGAAGCTTGTGGGATCCCTCCTCAATCTTCCATCCGTTCTCCAGTGTCCGCACCACCCCACCCAACTCGGGAAGTCCTTTTGGATCCGAAAGGGTGTCTATATGTGTCTACCAGGACCCTCCAACAGGTGTCCGAAATGGAGGGTTGTTAGGCCGGTCTCAATGAGTGACTTGGTATGTATAAGTCTATCAACCACCCGAACTGGGTGCCTGCTGGTTGAGCCCCATTCTCCACCCATCTCTCGATCCGACCTATGGGGCAGGACTCGCAGTAGGCACTGCGGGCGCTCGCGGCGAAGCGTCCCATGGGGCAGGGGTCGCAACTCACCTGGTTTTGGGGCGCCGACGGTACGAGATCTGCCCAGATCTGCCCAGATGCGGTGCTCGGACGCGAATTGTCCCTCGGGATCTGGACCCGAACCAATTTTCTATGCGTTTTGAGGGACCAGTCGGGCTGTGAACGGAGCGTCTGGGTGTACCCATTCCCTATAAGGGTCCAGTCGTACCGACCCTCAGGTTCGGTACGACTGCAGTGTCGTCTCCCATCACCTTCTTAGGGCGAGGCTGGCAGTGGCTCTGGAGTGATACCTGCTTTGGGCAGTTCAGGTCAAGTCTCCATCCTTTCAAACAACGATCCGGTCACACCACGTTCCACGTACGTGTCAACGAGTCTCCTCCACGTTCCGGACCGGCTCGGCTCAACAAAAACCTAAGACCCACAAATACTCCCTACAGTCCCTACAAGTCAATGGCCTCATTTTACTGGAGTTGGTCATACAAAAACACTATTAAAGAAGCTCTAAAGGACCAGGTTTGGACCTGGGTCAGACTGGACGTATGTAGGGACTGGAAGGATCTGGAACCAGGTTTCCGACCTATTTGGATGCAGAAACCAAAGGCAACGTGTTCCAACAGGTGACCTGAGTCATGTTCGTCCGGACCAGTCCCTCTAGTCGGCAACGAGTCGAAGATCCCAGTCTGGGCTGGTCGAGTCTGGGCTGGTCCCAAGGTGGCCATTGAAAGCCGCTGCTCGGCGCTGCTCGTGTGGCAGAAAGAAGATTCATGGGAAGGGCATGGGGCCCCCAAGACATTCCGAAGAAACCCAAGCTTCAAGCGGGAGGGTGAAGTATACACATGGAAGAGCGTGAAGTCACATATCCCCATGGGCACAGTTAGAGTAAAGTCACCCTCCTCGCGAAGTGATGAACACATGTGTTTTGTTGGTTGTCACATGGAGTTGGATGGTTTTGAGTCTCTTCCAGGGCTTGTGACAAGGGCCCAATTGGGCCACGAATTGGGCATCCCTGTCCTTCCTCCGTTCATTCGGCATCCCGAGCCTTGTGACTCCTGGAGGATTGCATGTCTTTTCTTAGTTCGGAACATCCTCTTCCAAGAGGATTGGATTCACACACTCACCGCCCATGCTTTTCAGGAGAAGGAGCTAGAAGGAGCCCTGTGCCCGTCGAAAAAGCAGCCCGTCTCAAGTAGCTTCTGAAAGGGGCAACACATGCCAGGGTGTTCGGTTCCCCGATTGGTGCCCTGTCGTGCACCACTCACACACCACTATACCACTCACACTATACCACTCACTGATCGCCCAAGTCGCTGCCGAGCTGGATGGCTGAAAGTAACCCTTCGCGCAAGGGCCTGAAGCAAAACGGGGTGCCAGCGGCAGGAACTCGGTCTGCTGGCGGAGAGATCTTACAGCAAAGAGATCTCAGGGCCAGCAAGAGGATGCAGCGGAAGTTGTGTTCAGGAACCGAAGATGCGGAGAAACATGGGTTTTTTTCGAGATGCGGAAGATGGCCACAACGGCCTGTTCTGGATCTTTGCACTGAATTTGAGATGTTGGAGGAAGGTGAAGAGTTCTTCCACTGGACGACGAAGGACACTGACCCACAAATGTGTATGGCCAACTAACATCAAGAGTGCACAAAAGGCAACGTAATACCTATAGCCATAGCTAGCCCATGATATTGGGGGAAGTATATTAAATATGAAAGTATATATTATGCGTTTGTCCAAATTAGGAAGGTATTCCTCCAGAGAATGTTCCTCCATGAAACTGGAAAATGTCTCATGATTCACCCCCTAGTCTGGAGGAGTGAGGATGTCTCTGTGGGATGCCACAGCTGAGCAAAAATGATTCTCCTGAGAAAGCTCTAACACATGGTCCCAAAACAAGGTGCCCTATAATAATCATCATTGGACCCTCCTCTGGAGGGTTTTGACCAGGGTTTTGACCAGGCATAGCAAGGGTTTGGGCCCTCAAAACCTTCACCCTTGAGGGTTCTTGATTCTTAGATGATTGTACCGTCTGATCGAAACATCGTACTTTCAGGCGAAACCACTCCCGTTCCCCATCTCCATGACCTCTTCTTCCCTGCAAAGTACTCCTAAAAATGGCTTCCTTGTACAATTGACCCCGGTGAAATAGGCTCATGAGATGCTCATGAGTCACCTCCCGTTTTTTGGTACGAAGACAGCTCCACCCGCTCCATCCACCCGCAACATCCTCCACTCCACCCGCTGCGGCCGCGCGTCGGCAATCGGCGGTGTCCCCCATTTCGTCCTGCACCAGTCGACTGAAGCGCCCCGCGGTGCAAGCCACGCAGATCACGTCGTCGCCGCGGCTGCCCACGAAGCGCCGTTCGGTGATCTCGGCACGGACGCGCCGTTTGGGAAAAGGGGCTTAACAGCGGGGTATACGGGCCAACAGTGGCGCGGTGAAGGCTATAAGCTGGTACCGGTGGGCGGTCGGGCGGTCGTGTTCGCTGGGGGGACCCAAAGCGCTCGTGTGGAGTCGACCCGACCCAGTACCGAACAGAACATGGGACGTGACGTCTGACCCCATAGTCCAAACAGCTACGACACCTGGGGCCCCATGAACACCGAGGTACGAAGGGGGTCGATCTCCAGGTACGACCAGATTCATCAACAAAAACGGCTCGGTGAAAGGCCAGGCACCAATCTCTGGTGAAAGGATCGCACGCGAAGAAGAAGCTGTTTCATGGATTTCGAGTTGTCTGAAAATGTTGGTCTACTGTGAGGGAGCCAACCTCCGAGCAAAACACAGTTCAAAGGATTCAAAGGCCCTTCCAAAATCCCCCAACAACCCATCGCCATGACACTGGAATACTTTTACATGGCAACATCTTAAAATCACCACACTATAGACAATGCAAACATATTCCATACATGGTTTGTTGGGGATCACCTCGAACTGCTGGATCCTAAGCTGAAATCTTGCATGAACTATAACTACCAGGACCCTCCAACAGGCTGTTTGGAGACCTTAACAGGTGGTTTCTGTGCACCTGTTGGAGGGTGCTTTTATAGGACCATCACAAACAGATCAGGACTGGAGACAGTCCAAGGGGACTGGAAATAGATCATTCGTTCCATCACCCCAGTGTAGGCATATTATGACCTGGACCCGACTTCAAGTACCCTACAGAAAAACTATGGTATGACTCTAGGACTGTACCCATTTTCCGAGGTACTTTGATTGTCCAGATTCGTCCAGGCCACTTCGATGCCATACATGGAGTGTCAGGGCTTGGTCTTTCACAAAAAATAACTGATATCGGCATATCGGCGCATGACGTGTCTTGTCGCGCCTTTTGCACCGTCGGACCTCACGTTCATCGTCGACCTCACGGTCCATATCAGATCAGTCTGAAATTCAGAACGTGGTGCCCAACTCACTTTGTTTCGAAGGTGGTGCCACGGTGGGTGCCACGGGAATGCCACATGGTCATACCTTTCTAGATGGATACGAAGCCCAAATGGGACCAGAAAAAAGGCCGCCGAATCCAAGATCTGGTCTAAACAACAATCGAACCGTAGCTCAGCCCGGACATGTCTCACCGTTCGTTCTCGCCTTTTGGTTACGACTGCACCGGCCGAGGCACGGAGTACATGCCTTGACCGGCGAAGCACGCGCCCTTCTTGGGGATCCAAGGCTTCCAAATCGCGTCCGTGCCCTGGCGGCCGCGTCGGACGCCGCGAGGCCGACGGGATGGGATGAGCGTGTGCTCTCCAGGACCTTCCACTCGTGACCTTTTCAGGATTGGTAAGTGACCTGTTCAAGGCCTGTTCGTGACCTCAGCCACTGTGATCTCAAAAGGTCACTGGGAAGGTCCTGCTGTTATTTTAAGCAAAAGGAAGATGGATTGCAACACCAGTAGTACTGAGAGAGCGGTTGAGTGCGATGAACCCTACCCAAACACTCCATATCATATGGACCTGGTTGAAAAAGGGGTTAATGGTAGGTCAATACGAGTATATACCCCTACACCTCCAGTCGCATCGAACCTCAGGTTCGCTATGACTGGAGGCCGAACGGAATGGCATCGCAAGGGGATGAGGCGTTGAAAGATGTGGAAACAACGGGATCCCATAGGGTCTAGGTACCTCCAACACCATCCTCAGGAGGTGAGTACGTACTTCCAGAGAATGGTCGAACGGGGGGTCAAAGGACATCTGAATCGGATGGTCCTGGACCCTTAGGGGGTGTTCTTACAAAAAACCGACAGATTCCATGAAGGCCTCCTCTACGCCAGATATGACTAATGGGACTGTCATATATGCCGATCAATTGACCCCTCAAAGCACCCCAATGGGGCGGCATATATGGCAGTCCCAGACTGGTCGTGTCTGGGTACTGCATCAAGGGCTATGCCACCTCTCGTTGACCGAGGTCGACATCACTCCCCCCTCCCAATTCTTAGGCTTCATGACACTGCCGTGCGACATGTCCAGGTGAAAAATGTGTCAAAACAGCACATGCGGTGTCGCAGTCCCACGCAGTCGTGCTTCTTACAAGTCTATCTATCTACCCCAGTCTCTCGTGCTTCCCGCTTCCCAGGCCGCGCGGAGACTCCCCGCCTGCGCTCGGAGCCACTGGCAGGCGCCGCTGCGAGCGGCGCAGGAGAAGCAACGATCGAATCTCTCCAGGGAGTCGTAGCCTTGTTCAGAACACATGGAGAGGTACTCAAGCTCTACAAAATGAGAAACTTGGGGCAAAAAGGAGTGTGCCATCTTCTATGAATCAAGGACCCTGAAAGGTGAGGGTTTTGAGGGTCCAAGCCTCTGCTAATTATGCTATAGGGTCAAAACCCTTCATAGGAGGGTCCAATGATGGTTAGGAGGGTCCAATGATTGTAAAAAACTGTTGCAACTCTTGGAACTGCCTTGAAAGGATCCAGCAAAAGAACCTTGGATTCGACCAAAGGAGGACGTGGGGGGTGCCGGTGCCAACGTTTTTCAGTTGGAGGAGGTTTAGGTGAAACCCTATCCATGGGGTCCAGGTATCTCTTCCGGATGGTACCAGTATTGAAGGTTTTCGTACGTACGAAACTAGAGAATGGTCGTGTCAAAGGACATCTGATTCGGATGGTCCTGGGCATCTTTCGCTTCCGCTCCAGTCATACCTCCTCAGGTTCGGTACGAGTACGAAGACAATAGACCCTCCTTTTGCATCCAACCCAGTCTCACCGAAACGAAACGGAGGTAGGTTTCAAGCCCTACAGGGATTGACTTTCATGTAGCGCCCATGACAATCCATGGAACTGGCAGTCCCGACTCCGGACGGTTCTCTGTTGAATTGGTAATGATTGGTCACATCAATTTCAGTCTCATGAAGTGTCTGGGAAAGGGATCCACCCCAAAGCGGAGGTCAGGACCCATGAATTAAAGGGTGTTTTACAGGGGGTTCCTCAATGTTCCACATATATAAAAGACATCTCTGGCTTTGTGCCATCTACTCTGAAACCACTGTAAAGTGTTGGGTTTGGAGCCAGCTTCTTCGGTATGTGATCCTGTTGAAGTCCCTGATGGTGGCCTGTCCAACACGGGATCAAGTGACCAGTCACGAGTTTGGATCCCAGTCAGGCACCAGCGGATTCATCGAACACTGGAGTCGGTTCTGTCATGTCCACAGCCTACAGTGCTTGCCATTCAAAGCATGTCGTACCGGGAAACCTGTTCATCTGGAAACATCGAGTTCTCAAAGCAGCAAAACCACACACTCGATCTTACAGCACTCTGAGGCCTGGCAAGCACTCGGTCGCGTTCCAAATGGGATGCATGTTTCTCTATTACAACATGAGACCCCAGTTGAAAGCCTGGCTTGCCAGATGGGATGTTTCTCTATAGCATGAAACCCCCATTGAAAAGAAAAACGGCAAGCTGGCACTGAATCGGAACGGCGAACGCTGCACTGAACACTGAAGCTCGGCAGCTGAACTGGAGCATCTGGTTCAGATCCTCTAACGACCTGGCGATGCCGTCCGGACCCGGCGAAGGTGGGGGGGGAGGGCGATGGCCGGCCGCCAAAGCGAAAAGAGACCCGGAACAAAGAGGCCCCAAGAAGACGGATATCGGTTGGAGTTCCCAAACACTCCGACATGTCCTCCGTTGTCCAACGAGCTCCTTGTTGGACGGAATGGGATCGCATGGTCCGTGGACAGACTGACCAGGACTGACTGACGAACCACTCTCCGGTTCGACCCTCCGCCGATCGGCTCGGTGCCGGTGTCGGTCCAGTTCGGAGCGAAACGGCTGGCGGTTTCGGCGGGCGGTTTCGGCGGCGCAGGTGGGCAGTGCCTGACACGAACGTGGGGCTGGCATAGTTTTTAAACCTAGTAGTTGGGGTGGTTTGATTGGACAACGTAACCAGTGGCCCTCAAAAACATGACACATCATTTATAAAGCTTCTCACTATACAAGTTTATCATCTGTTTGCTGGGGAAAAGCCCTACTTTTTGATGGGCCATGTGGTGCCCCTGGATCTTGGCCAACTGCTCTTCCCTCGCCCTCTCTTCCTCTTCCCGCTCCGAGCGGCAAGAGCATCCGCTGCAGCAGGACGCGGACGTCGGGCGCGAGCTGCGCCAATTCATTGCTCACCACGGTGATCGGCCAGGTCGCCTCGCACGGTGGTGGACACATCGGTGGACGTCAGAAGCAAGCCGAACGTCACAAGGCCGGGGCCGTATACTAGTAACAAGGAGGCAAGCTGAATGTGGCTCCTGGCATGACTACTGGTGACAAGAAGCTACAAAGGTAGCAAAGGGCATTACTACTAGTAGCTCTTCTCTCCTAGTAACAAGAAGCTACCAAAAACCAATAAAACACATGTAAATATAATGCGTTCAGCAGGGGCACCAGGGAAAATCACCTTGCATGTTTGATCTTTCATTCTACCTGGAAGATCCTGGAAGTGTCCGGGACATTTAGTCTATTTGGTTTTTGAAGTCAAAGATTCCCTGTGACTCCTAGCCAACTTCAATGTGTTTAAATTGGACCCCAGACAACCATTATTTGACTATAAGGATTTAACCCACGAGGTCAACCAAAACATCATATGGTCTTTGAAGCGTACGGGATTCCATGGAGGTGTCGTCCGGACTATACCTCTAAAGAACGTATGTTTGGACCCATACGTCTCGCTGCCTCCCTCTTGCTGGCCATCACGTTGAAAGCCCACCTGAGACATCTGTGCGGATCCCACCATTCCAAGGCGAGGCTGGGTTTGAACAGGGATCTTGTCGACAAGAACCGGTCAACACAATTCCTCTAAACAAGAACTCCAGCTGCTTCAAAGTGCCCTCTATTTGCAAGCACTTAGCCAAAAAGAAACAAACAGTCACTTAAGGTCTCAACATCGAGACAAGTGACCCTTTGATATCGAAGGATATCGAACATTTTTTGATGTTTAAGTGGCTGTTTTAGTATCCTATGATACGATGCGATGGGGATTCGAGACCAAGATGGGTAGGGCTGAAGGGGGGAAGATCGCAGAGCTCCATCGCCATCTCCACAGCACCTGCAGGCTCGCAATCGTGCTAGATGGAACCACCATGGATCACAGGAACCGCCATGGATCACAGATGTTGAACCCTTAACTATAAGGACGGATCCATCGATCTATCACAAGGCACCAGCTGACAACAAATCTAGGCGTGATTTGTGCTCGCGGTTCTGTCCGCCATGGGAGATAACGAGCTCTCGAGTGATCCTGGAACCAAGCTAAAAGACTTATCTGTGGATGGGCGGTGCCTTGGACCATGTCGTATGAGCACATTGTGTCGTTTTTTGTTCGAGGTATTCAATCATGTGTGGCCTAAAGGGTTCCAAGGCCAATGCCCTGTCAAACAGCCCCACTCAACTCAGGCGACTCCGGAAGTCGATGGAGAAACATATTCCTCGATCTTGCAAGGAGGATCAATTCCTGATCCCTGGGGGGGACTTGCGACGCTTGGGTAACCAATGGCTTCGCAAAGCCTTTGATGAAGCCAAGGTTAACCGTACACCACGAGAGGGTGAGGTTCGTAAGGTGATAGGACAATTGTCCAACATCTTGGACATTTGCCGCTCGGACTGGCCTACTGTTTCGATTGTTGCTGATCGTAATTGTGGGCTTTATGATTGTTCATTTCGAGGAAAACCCTGCTATAGTTTGGATACTAGCTGAGGCCCCTTTGGTAGAAAGGATGAACGCGAAGAATGGATCGTTCAACAGGTGGGTCCTTTTTTGAAGCATGTGTTCTTTGAGGGGGCCCCACTTTGAATTCAGTGATCGAGTGTTCATTCCAATTCCCAGGCTCAGAGATGCCATGGTGTGATGATTCGTCACAAAAAACTCCTGACACGGCCATCCACCTCGAGTTCTTTGCCCAGTGTGATGCTCGATGAGAACTTGTGGCGGATCAACTAAAGTTTGCATGTGCAACGTCCAATTGGCCCAATCGTATTTACCCTGAAAACATCTTTGCTCAGGACTAGCCCTGATGATATGGAGACCCAACCAATGATTGAGGCCTTAGATGAGGCTTCGATGCCCCCAGCTTAGCTTTAACCACAAAAATGTATATCGCAACCCACCGCATATGGCTGAACATCGTTTTTGATATGCGTTAAGGAGACACTGTGGATCCAAACCTCAGGATGATGATCTCCCCAGTACCACTGTTGAGGCCTCTGCTGTCTAGCTTCGACCCGGTTCGATTGATTGTTTTTGCAACTTCTTCAATTGACCTATTCAAGGTTTCCAGTGACCCTTGTGACTTCAAATTGGGATACCAAAGGGTCACTTTGAAGCACCAGTGGCTCTTTGTCCATCTGTACTCCTGGGCAGGAAAGTGAAGAAGAAAAAGCAAAGAACAGAAAGAGGAAAGCGGAGTTTTGTGAGGACGAAAGCGAAAGTGGTTCTGCTTCAGATGCTTTGGACAGGACAGATGAGAATGCGAAGGGAGATGAAGCTAAGGCTGAAGGAAGTGACGATGAGGATGATGAGAGTGAGGATGAGAAAAGCAGGGGCGAGGAGTCTAGCGACAGTGAGGAGGAATCTGAAGCAAATGAGGATGCTCAAAAGGGGGAAGGCGATGCTAAGGGCCAACCTTCTGATGAAGGTGATCAGAAAGGTGATTCTGATGGGGACGAGAGTGAGGATGAGGCTGAGAGTGCAGAAAAAGAAAGCAGCGAGGAAGAGGAGGAAGGACAGGGTAGGTCGAACCTGCTCAAGTCCCTCAATGAAGATGTCCCAAGTTCTGATGCTCGAAAGTTCGCTTTAGAAAGCTTGAAGAGGCAACAAAAACAAGATGAAAAGAGCAAAGATGAAGAACAGGATGCACGTGAGCCTTCAAGTGATGAAAGTTCACACGAAGCTTCAGCAGATGAGAGCGAGAAGACAAGACAAAAGGAGATCGAGGAAGCTTCAGAGGCCATGAGCAATGAAGAGGAAGAGGAAGAAGGAGATGGGGACAGGCAAGAGGCTGATGAAGAGAAGCGAGCAGCATTGAGGGAAACAAAGGAAGGAGAGGAGGATGAGAAACACATGGCCTCAGAGGACGAAGAAGATGAAGATGATGAGAGAAGCGAAAACGCAGCTGATGAGAAAGCTCCAGAAGAAGAGGACGAAGACGAAGAAAATGAGGATGAGTCGGATGAGGATCTACCTTTGGAGAAAGGGGGGGTCTCTGATGAGGCTTCCGAGGAAGAGGAAGAGGATGAGGACGAGCAGGAAGGCCAAGACAAAAAGCTAGCTGCCTGGGATAAAGCCTCGGATCAGGAGGAAGATGAGACAGATCACCAAAAGACCGAGGAGAAAAAGGAAAAGTCCTTGGAAGCATCTGAGGAAGAGGAAGAAAACACTGACAAAGAGTCTGAGGAAAATGGGGCAGTGTTAGATGAAGCAGCTTTCGAAGAAGAGGAGGAAGGTAGCGAGGACGAGAAGGAAGATCAAGAGGCTGATGAGAAACGAGCTTCTTCAGAGGAAGAAGAAGATGATGATGACAAAGAAGACCAAGAGGTTGAGGAGGATCAAAGCATTTCTTCAGAGCAAGAAGATGATGATGATAAAAAAGTACAAGAGGCTGAGGAGGAGCAAACAGGAGCCTCGGAGGAAGCTTCTTCAGAAGACGAGGAAAGAGATGAGGACAAGAGCGAAGACCAAAAGGCTGAGGAGAAAGGGGTCACCTTCGGTAAAGCTGCATCAGAAGAAGAGGAGGAAGAAGAAGATGAAGGCAAGAATGCAAACCAAGAAGCTGAGGATCTCGAAAAAGGGGTCACATCGGATGAAACTTCTTCAGATGAAGAGGATGAAGAGGATGAAGACAATGAAGGTAAGAAGGCAGACCAAGAGGCTGAGAGGAAAAGAGTCGCTTCGGATGGAGCTTCAGAGGAAGCAAAGGAAGAGGATGATAAAGACAACGCTGAGGAAACGAAAGGAGAGACTGAAGGTTCTGTGGATGAGCGACAGGGGGAAGGAACTGAGGATGATAAGGAGGAGGGGGAGGAAGAAAGGAAGGGAGATGCAATGGATCTCGATGATGATGATGATGGGAGTGAGAAGGAAGGACCAAAGTGCGAAGAGGAGAATCGAGACCCAATGGATGAAGATGAGGAAGACGAGGAAAGCAAGAAGGACAAGCTCAAAAAAAATGAGCACGCTAGGGTAGCTGACAAGGACAATGCAATGAAGGGAGCACAATGTTCAGAGAAGAGAGGGGGTAAGGATGGATCAAGCAACAGTGTAATACAGGGAGGGCGGCCCAGTGCTGCTGCGTTGGGCTTTTCCACTGTGGGATTGTCTGACAAAGAAGTGCAACAAAGAATGCATGGGAAGGCCAAGGCGAAAGCCAAAGCAACACCCAAAAAGAAGCGTGTCACAAGAGCAGACAAAGCGATTACCTCAACACAAAGGATCGAGGAAGACGAGGAGAAAAGCGAAGAAGATGATGTCAGCATCAGTCCAATGCCAAGCTTGAAGTCAAGCAGTGAAAGTGACAGCAGCACAAGCAGCACAAGTGACAGCGCAGGCGACTCGTCGTCCAGGGAGGATGAGAGAAAGCAGAACATGAAACCTGAAGAAGCAGCACCAACCGGTGAAGAACTGAAGGAGAAGGCCCGGGTCTTCCGCATCAGAGCTGAGTTCCCCCGAAGCAACATCAGAAGGTGGATGACTCCTGGTTACAAGTATCCTTCACCAAACTTGCCAACCAAAGAAAAAAGGATGTTATTGCAAAAGCATTTTCATCAAAAGAGGATCGAGACCTGGATTGCCAGAAACCCACTGAAAGCTCTTAGATCACTTCCAGATGATGTCCCAAGTTCTGATGCTCGCCAATTTGCCCTAGCTTGCTTGGAGGAATCGGAAGAGAGCACTTCAGAGAATCAACAGAAGGACAAAGAAGCTGGTGATCCAAAAACTCACCCAACACCCAAGCCAATGCCCAAGCATCGACGTCGTTGCAAGAGCTTCGGATACTCAGTGTGGATTTGTTGGCAAACTTGAGAGGCCACAGAGGGTGTGTGTGTGTATAAGCATCTTCAAGTGCACCCCTTTGTGGCCTGTCAACCTTTTTTTGGGGGTGTTTCATAGCTTCTTATTTGAGCAACTCATCGATCGAGCCGATCCTATTTTACTGAAGGTCCGTCATTGCCTTCAAACTACCCCTGATTCGAAACTTGCATATTTAGTATAGATCGATCCACTGCTAGCCAACTCCAGTGTGGTGTGGGTCTTGCTCAGCTGAGGAACCCCAGAGCGTGCTGCCAGCTCCAACCCTGAGACTACCATTGCACCAGCTGTGCCCAATCCACCGAGCAAACCCAGCCCTTCCGCCAAGAAGGAGAAAACAGCGCCTTGCTCGCATCTGGATTTGTCTACAGCTGCAGCACTTCCTGCATGCACGCGTGGAATACATTTGCACTGCTTGCTCAGCCTAGGCGACCGTCATTGCCACGAACTCGACCAAGGACTTGCCTCTTTCAACATTCAATTGTGCAATTGAGAGGATTCAACAAATAGCTTTGTCGAAAGCAAATTCGAAAATACCTTGCCCTGAAGAGCAGCTGGCGTTGATACGTGCTAAGAAGGGGAAGGCTGAAAGGTTGAAGCTTAGCTTGTGATTTTTTCACGCATGCATATCGTATAATATATATATATATCATGCGTGTCGAACACAACTGAATACCTACATATCC